GGTTCAGATCTTATATTTGCACCAGAAACTAGACCAAAACTACCTGGTAGTATTTTGTGTTTTTGCGGTGTACGGGATGCCTGAGGAGCCGAACGGATAGTAAACTGTTCTGCTGAGAACGAATGCATCCCGCTGTCATGTGACAGCCGGGCATGGCTGCTGTGGAAGCTGATATCACGCCCTGCCTCTGGCCTACACGCCCTCGCCCCAGACCCATCGATTTTATCGGGCGACACCAAAGCCAGCTCAGGCCAGCGTCCAGAACCCCGCGACACCCCGAGGGCGACGAGAGCCTCGTCAATGTCAGAAAACACTCCCAGATCAGCTCATAACGCCGTGAAATGGAGACGGAAGAGGCAGAAACGTTTGCCAAGCAGATTGAAATGTTCTGGATCAAATATTCTAAAAATGGAGTTGATGTTGTGGGATAGATGGCTGCAGGCAGCAGTGGGACTCGTTGCTTTGCCATAATTCAATACTGTTTAGACATCCACCCACTGAAAACAGGCTAGAGGTGACATACAGGCACACAACCACACCTAAGGGTAATTACAAATCTCCAGTCAGGCTGACATACCACAAGCTTTTGAGTATTAGAAGGAAACCATAATACCATAAAACCATAATATACTATGAGTTACATTTAGATTTTTTTTTTATTGTTACATGTTCAATTCCCATTAATATTGTGTAGATGTGGTTTTATTTTTTCTACATGATCGTGGATTATAGGATATTTCATATAAGGCCCTGGGCTTTTGCCTCTTCCTATACTGTTATAATTATTTTTTTCTTAAAGGTGACCTCTTATGCTTCATTACATTGTTTGCACAAAATCATTCTTAGATAATGAGATTTTAGCCTGCTCAATTCAGAATGAGCTGTTTTAGGGATTCTGTCACTTTAAATCCACGCCCCTACACTTGTGTTGCTAGGTGACGGGCAGAACTCAGCTGGGGTTGCTAGGTAACGGGCTGTGTCTTCTGATTTGTGACATTATTTTCTGAAGGTATTTAAAATGGCTCATATCCCAGACACCAAAAATCATTAAAGTATTGACAAAAACTATCTGGGTTGTTTTTAAAATGTTTGGACTGTTTTAGGACCAGGAGAAATCCAAATAGAAGTATAAAAACATGCAAAATGAGAATTTTACATAATACCTTAATATGTTTCATCTTTATTTTAATTGTGTACAATAAGCTAAGCTAAACATAAGATGTAGAAAAACTTCACTGAATAAAGGCTTTTTCTGGGTAAATATGAACAAAACAAATGCAAATTTAACGTTAGCGTGAGAAACGGCTTGTAGTCTTTTACCACGACAAGAGAAATCCTACAACCGATAAAATCTGACACCACTCCACTTTTGTTTACTTTTCATGAAGAAGGAAGTTGCGTTCATGTCGTCTTTGTGTCGTTTTCTTTGGTGGGTCTTGGTGCAGCGCCACCACAGGTAAGGAGGGGAACAGGTTTGGTTCGCTTTCACACTGCAAGCTGAAAATGTAACAAATGTTGCAATTTTCCTCCCAAATGGAACCAAATCTACCAAACGATCAGGTGTGAAAACACCTTGAAACCACTTTGGTTCATTGTCAATTTTAAAGACTCATTTGTTTCCATGTTTTAACCATGTCAGCATTTCTCTTCTGAAGGGTTTCCATGAATGAATACAAATTATTGTATTTATATGATTTTTGGCTCTTCTGGATTTCATTAAGCAGTTCTCTTTTTTCAAATCCTGATGAAGGAATAATGAAATCCAATTAAATTTGGGATTTAAGCTGATCAGTCCTGCTTGGCCTCACCTGGCCTCTGCGTCTCGTTGAAGTCATGTTTTGCGGTTATAGTATTAGCGTGTTGCGTAACTGGGCGTTTTCTTGCCTCTTTCATCTCCTCTCAGCTGCTTAGCGCCCAGTAGAGCAGCGGATGATGGGAGCTCCAACACGGCATGATCTAAAAACCCACTGGCGCTTCAGCGTGCCTCAGCTGGCTTATATAACCCAGCGTGGATATGCAAACTGCCTGGCTGCTGGGGGAGCGGAGCGCACACACCACACACAGTCGGTTCATCAACGTTTGAGTGTTTAGCAGAATAAAGTCAGGATTTGATTTTTTTTCTGCTTGGCAACCGCGTCATCAGAAACCCTCTCTCCTCCTCGCCACGCTTCGTGATGACATCAGCACGATTTTTGGGCCAGCGAGTTCCTCCGTGATGTAATTTCCGGCGGGTCTTCACCTGAAGTGACTTTTTTTGTTGTTGCGTAACTCAACCAATTTTTCAGCCAGTCTTTTTTTTCTCATTATGGAAACACCAGGTGGGCCAAACAATTTAAATATTGTGGGTTTGTATTTGATACTAATTTAACATTCAAATGTCCTGTTAAGAAAATAACAAAACTTCTTAAGTTTAATCTTGGAAGATGCTGTTTGCTTAACTTGGACTGTAAAAATATTCATGAACGTTATGACTTTGTCTCATAAAACATGAAATACCAAGTATTAACTTGAAATAAGACAAAACCGAAGTTTAAGTATTTTTTCTGCTAAATATAGGAGCTTGTTTTAAGTAAATAATTCCTTAATATTGCAGTAAAATACCAGATTCTCCGGCAGATTTTTCACTAATGAAAACACATTTTTCCCTTGTTCTAATGTGAAATTATCTGCCATCGTTGTCTTTAAGGACCACCAGATTTCATTTTCAGTGAAAAATACCAGAGAGCGCAAGACCGGATGAATCTTTTAAATAATTTTCTACTAGCTTACGGTGCATTCACAGCAGCCGTGTTTAGTTTGCTTTAATCCAACTCATTTGTTTAGGAAGTCTGGTTCCTTTGGGAAGCTGTGTGTGTGAAATCAAATAAAAAAGCGAACTCTGGTCCACCTACAAACTTCAGTCTCTGTTCAGTTAAAATGAACACTGGTGCCGTTCAAATGCATTTGTGAACGTCAAGTGGACCACTCCAAAAGCTGGAAGCAGATTATAGCACAAGGCATTCTGGGTAAATACAACCAAAACAAACGTGAGTGCAGCGCTAGAGAGAGAAATCCTATAACCACCAAAATCTGATGCATTTTTGTTTACATCATGTAAAGATGGAAGCTGCGCTCAGTGTCTTCTTCAGAGGTTTTTTGTTGTTTCCTGCAGTGGTTTTTGTTGCAGCGCCACCACAGGTGAGAGTTTTTAAATTGGTTTGGGTTTGAGCAGTGAGAATGAGAAGCACAGCAGCTGAAAATTTTACAAATGTTGCAATTTTGATCCCAAACTGAATTGAGTCTGTCAGATTATTAGGTGTAAAAACACCCCTAAAATTAAATTAAATTATGGCTCCTAGAAAATCAAATTCTTATTTTTATTCTGTCTTTGTTTACTGAGCTGAACTTTTGTGCTTTATGGCTTTTCAGTCTTTAAATTTGTGACTTGATATGATCTTTTTAGACAAAAAAATGATTTTTATTTATTATTATTCTCTTTGTTTTGGAAGAAGCTTGTTAATTTGTCTGTATTTATATTTATATTGACTACAGATGGCTAACTCTGGCATATTATGTGCACTGTCCCTTTTGAAATTCATAAACTACAACAACACATTTGCATCGGCCTCCTGTGACCCCATCGTGCACCGAGCACAGAAAAAAAAAGGAGATCTTGAAGTGTAACGCTATGAATCACCACGACTGTAAGTGCAACGCAATAGCAGGAGTGTGAGGGTGAAGAGATGCAGAGAAAGACGGCGATCAAGAGAGGCCTGACCTATATAAGAACGAGGCTGAAATATTTATGGATGTGAGTGTCCTAATTGGCAAGCCACTGGGAGGAGCGCGGCAAAGAGGTTAACGTACACTCAAAGAACACGGCGGATCATCCCCGCCCTGATGGACGCCTCATTACGACTCCCACCTCCCGCCGCCGCGGCTCCGGCTCAGTTAGAACCATTACCAGAACCGTTGTCATAACCCCTCTCCATCGCACAGACGGACTGGAACAAGCGCTCAGAGCGCTGAGTCAAACGCAGCCTAATTGGCCGGGTTTATCTCCAGCGCTGGCACGCACGGCGCTGCGCTGCTGCGCTGCGAGAGGCCGCCATGGCTGTCGCCCGCAGTGGGAGATGATCAGAGCGACGCTTTCTGATCACTGAGAGAAAGACCTGAGGGACTCCAACCGTCCCCATGTCTGCAGAGGGAGGCTGAGGGCCGAGCTCATTCAAAATAACATAAAATGACGAGAATAAAGTCATAATAAAATCTGTTCAATATGAAGACAAGAGCTGGGGACTTACTATTTACACTTCAGTAACTGTTTTTAAGTACTTTACTTTTAGAAATATTTTTACTACGCTTTTTACTTGTACTTGAGTAATTTTATTATAAAGTATCTCTACTCTTACTTGAGTAAAATTTCTGGATCTTCTACCCACTAAATGAAAATAAACACGTTTTTAAAATTCACCACACAGACCTGCAGTTTCTGTTAAAGTTTCATCAGTTTTTTGTTGACAGAAACTGATTTGGAAACATTTTATTTTGCCTGATTTTGATATTTTTTTGTTATTTATATAAATTATTGTGATTTTGGTCTTTAAAATATAAAAATTTCCTCTGAACATCATGTTTTGGTCCATCTGATGATGTCATTTTTAAATATTAAATGATTTGATCAGTTACTCAGTACGTCAGTAAACTTTTTGCCAAATACTATTTTACTCTTATTTCTGTAATTTATTGGACGGTTATGTTTTACTCTTACTTGCGTTGAGTCTTTGGTTTCTCTGTCCTCCTTTGATTATGACTTTATTGTTACAATAAACACTCCGTCGTTTTAGGGCTTCACTAAGAAAATTAAAACCTTTAAATTACAAGAATAAAGTTTTAATAATAAAAAAGCTGTAATATTGCCAGAATATTGATGGGAGATTATTTCATGGGAGATAATCTGCTAATGGAACTTTTTCATCAATAATTACTGACTTAAAAGAAGCTTTGATAACTTACTGAAAGTGAGTTTTGTCTTATTTCAAATGTAGTCAGATATTTTGAGTATAAACTACATTAAAACACTGGGTAAGATGTTGTGTTTTCAGTGTGTAGCTCTTCCTGAGCTGCTGTGATGTTTAGGATTTGTAATCAAATGACTCCGACAAGCATCTCTGTCTTGCTTGCACAAAGGGGATGGGAGCAGAAATCGATGTGCTGTGTTTACAGGGCGCACAGCTGACGGTAACACTGCACGTTATGTTACACACAGCTGAGCAGAGGAACAGACGAGCTGCTTTTGGCTCGGCCCGGTCCGGCCGGCACTGCTGGCATCAGGCGCCGTCTGAGCAGAGGAGCAACATGGAGCAGGACGCAGGTGGAGGAACGTCTGGTACTCACGTAAGAAGTACTCTGATGGATCCGCTTCGTAATCCGTTTCCTCGGGAAAGTGGTCTATCTGTTTACACATTCCTTTGAAGTTTCCTGCAGGGAAGAAACACAGAAAGTTGGAGGGAGTTAACCCACAGTTAGACAAAGAACGGGCAGAGGAAGGCTGGCTGTAAATAAAAAATGGTTTTCATTAGGGGGATAAATTCATTTTACAGATTAATTACATTTTTGGGTTTTAGAATATTTAATTTTGGGGAATATCTGGATGTTTATCATTGACACACTTCTTGGGTTTCCGTAGTTCAGAGTGATGTCAGCACTCCCAGGGCGGCCATCTTGTTTTACATGTTATGTTTATTCAGGTCAACTATACGACAAAATATAAGGGTCGAAGTATTTTATAGTTTAATTACCAGAACAAAGTTAGAATTTTATGAGAACTCCAACACCAAAAATAAAAAATTAAATGAGGATTGTTGAGCATCTTGTGAAGTGATACAGAAGTTTTACAGATAATGCTAAATACTTTATAGGAATACTTCACCTTTTAGCACATCTGCATCAAATTGTTATCAGTACCAGGATTTTTAAACTATCATGCAAACAACCGAGTCCATTTGGTCATAATCAAATCCTGCATCTAAGCTTTTTTTCCCCTATTAAAACGTCTTTTTCAAGATATGTTTTTCTGCTAATATGTTCTCACAATAAAACAAAAAATTCTCAAGGAAGAAAAAGTTATGTGATTATTTTTATATATTAATGACATAAATGACATAGGCCTAAGAATATTTATTCATTTAGATTGTGATATAGAGTGACACAGGATTACAATTTAAAGCCAGAATTCTGAGAAAAATCTGAATTCTGAGATTAAAATTAAAATTCTGAGAAAACAGAATTCTGACATTAAAGACAGAATTATAAGAAAAAGTCAAAATTCTGAGATTAGAATTTAATACATTTCTTTGTTTATTTTTTTGTTGGCCCTAATCTTCTTCTGTTGAAGTTTTCTGTAAAGCCAAACATCCCAGCCCTAATATTCAGCAGAAAAACATCCAAAGGAGAAATTAATTTGGATTTAATTTCCTGTTTGCCTCCATATTTGTTTCATTTAAACAGATTACCGTTGGTTCTGGCTGCTTCCTTCTGGCTTACAGGTGGGTTTAATCTGATCATTTAAGTGATATCAAGTAGCGCCCAGCCCGGATCGCGTCAAAGCAGCGAATATTAGAGGCTCCGTTTGAAGACCTGCAGCAGTTGGCGGCTTGTAAACAAGAGCGCAGCAGCTGCTGCGACCTGGAGCCGCTCCAGCTGCGGCGCAGCGGCAACCTCAGGCCCAACACCTCTCTGTCCAGAACCGCCCGCCCCGGTGTGTCCTCCCGCTCCGGGACACGAGGCGGTTTGACACTGATGAGGTCACTCCAGGTGGCGCTGGCAGGGGGAGGCCTCTGTAAGGCGGCCATAACGGCGACCTGGTTCTTCAATGGCGGCAAGCAGCAGGCAGACGCCGGGGCATTTGATTGGACCAGATTAGTGTTTCATAAACGTTTTCATCTCCTCTCCCACCGGTGTCCCGCTAATTAGGGGAGCAGGTGTTGGTTGCTATGGCGCCAGGTGTTGCAGGGCAGGTTTTGGCAGCGGGGTGTGATGGACACGGCGGGGTGAGCTTTTTACCTTGTGAACGATCAAGAGGTGGGTAGAGTCGCTAAAAGTTGTACTAAAGCACAACTTTAACATATTTTTACTCAACTACTGAGGAACTGACCAAAACATTAATCATTAATATTTAAACATTACTGCCAACAGAACCAACAGAACAAGATTTGGTTTTATCGGGACATTTTCGACATTTTTCTCCTTCTATAATTCTGCTATTATAGCTAACTTTTTGTTAGCATATTTCCTCATGAAAACATTTCTGATGTTCTGGTTCTTATGCTAAAGCTAAATATGGCTGAAAAACTTCTCACAATATCTGAATGTTTTTACATTTATTTTGAATATGTAAACAATACCTGGGCTTTCTATTTGTTGCATAATATCATAGATCTCACAATAACAAATTGAAGTTAAGGATGCACAATAACTATAACAAATAAATATAAGAATTTAATATCAGTCGATATCGATAATCATCTATCGATAATTTTGTTGTTTGGTTTAAATATCTGAAGTACTGCCATCCTGGTGGGATGAGTTTAATGTTTCAGCTACAGTTTTCACTGCACACTAATAAAACATGAAACTTCTGCTGCGCAAGCTAACATGTTGTTGCTAGGTAACCAAAGAGTGAGTGAGTTGCTAGGTAACCAAAGAGTGAGCAGAAGTGTTGATTCCACCAACTTTTTTCAGCTAGCAGTGAGAAATTGAACAGCTAAAGTTTTTCCTCTGCCTACATAATATTGAATATCCTATCATTTATCTATTGATATTGATCACGTATCTGTTATTGATTTATTGTCCAGTCTTAAATCTACCTCACAAATTATCACCAGATTTGTGACTGACCAATGAATTATGCAACCTTGTTTTTCTCCAACTTCCAAACAAGCGTGGGAGCCTCTGGACTAATATTCCCACTAATCCCACTTAGTCCCAATCCATCGTTCTGTAACACTTATTTTTTTCCTGCTCAGCGTTGGCACATAATCAAAAAAACATCGATTTCGTTCCACAGGTTTTGTAGCAATTAGAACAAGCATGTGGGTTAAAAAAGAGGAGAATTTCACGGAGTATGGTAGGGAGAGATAATAGCAGGAAGAGCAGGTAACAGAAAGGCTTTGAAGGACAGGGAGCAGGAAGACGGGGAGGAGGTGGAATACATCAGTTTTAAGTGGTACAGTAACTGCTGAGCCGTGAAAAAGCCCTCTAGAGTTTAACAGAGCTGCACACTTTTTGAACTTGATGCTCCGATCAAAGTTCCTTCAGACTGGAGATTAGAGTCGGGTTCTCTGTAATCAGCTGGAAGGTGAACGCTGAATCTTACTGAAAATAAAAGGCACATAATCCACTAAAGCTTTGTTCACACACCGCTGAAGGTGTCAACCCGCCGCCTACCTGAAATAACAATACGTCCGTCTGAAGCGGGGTTGCCAGATCTGAATAAAACCCACCAACTCCAAAAGAAATCAACCCAAATCTCAGCCTCTAATGAAACTCTTCCGGGAACTCTGTAGCTGTCTGCCATCTTGGTAGGTATCCGAAACCACTTGTCATAACAGTTGCTATGACAACAGTAAACAAGCCAACAAGTTTAGAGCTAGCTCCCACCTCGTTCTCATCTAATTCATAAACAATATAAAAACATTATAACTCCATTATAATTTTTAAGTCCTCTGACTTCCTTTGTGCTGGTTGCTTTGTGTTCTGCTTTCCTACCAAGATGGCGATTCAGTGGCGTGGATCACGGTTCAAACTTATGAGAACACATTTTCTGCCACTTAATGACAACTATTTCCAAATCATTTTCCTCTGAACTCTTTCTAAAAACTCATCAAATGTTGCAAACAGCAGCCCAAATTTAAAGAACTCGTCCAAAGTTGTTTTTACCAGCCCGATGTGTTTGAAAACAGCAGCAACGTGCACACTTCTGCCTCCTCTCTGACCGTTTCAGGAAGATGACTTGTGTTTACATACGGCTGCTTTACTCCGTCCCAGTGGAGCTGTCTGGGCTAACCAGCAGCAGCAGAGGCGCCATGTGTGTCCTAATAACGTTATGAAGTAGGTGCAGGATTTGGTTTGCAGCTGGCCGACCCGTCAGCAGCTATTGGGAGGGGAAGGACTTCAATTAACGTGTTGAGAAGATTTATATGACAGGCACTGCTGTAAATGTACTGCGTCTTGTAATGCATGTCAACACAGCAGGTTGCTAACATTAAAACAACATCATGAATGTCAGCGCAGGGATGCAACAACCTTACTAGGTATTTTTAAATAGTGACAATATCTTTGTCACCAAGATAGTTAGTGTAAATATCTTAGTACGCTTGAAGTCTGAGTCAGAATGCATTTATTGTTATTGTACAGAAGCACAACAACACTTCGTTTCAGTAGAGCCAATCCAAGAAGACGGGGTTCCTGCGACGCTCATTTACAAGTAACTTTTTATCAGATATAGATTATTGGGTAACATTTTGTTTGATGGGATCTGCATAAGACTGACATGACCTGTTATAAACATAACACCTGTTATAAACATGAAGGAGTGTTTGTGACTGTTGTCAGGAAGTGCAATTCGGTAAATAATGACACTTTTAATGCAAAGTCTCATTTAAAGTGTCATTATTTACCAAATTACACTTCATAAACATTCATAGACAAATCCTTCATGTTCATACCAGGTGTTATGTTTATGACAGGTCATGTCAGTCTTATAAAGTCAAATAAAATGTTACAGTCAATAATTCCTTAATATTGATGAAAAAGGTCCTAGTCTCACTTATAACATGAGAAAAATGTCTTGCTGTAAATTAAATAATCTGCTAATCAATACTAAGGAATTATTGACTTAAAACAAGCTGCTATATCTTGATGAAAAGTTACTTATAAGTTTGTTTTGTCTTATTTCAAGTGTACTCATAAGTCAGAAACCTGTGTTTTCTTATGTGACTTTTTAACCAGACGAGTGTTACAAATAGCTTTCTATACTGTGAGGCTTGTGAATGTTCGTATCCATGTCATTTTTTTCCCAAGCAGGTGATTATAGATGAGTTTGCAGGCGGATCTTCTTGGTGCTGCTCCCACAGACCGATGCGCCTCCATGTCGCTATAAGGAGCTACATGCTAGCCCCCTGCCTCCCCTTCACTTCACTTCACTGCCACCAGCCTGCAGAGACTGAGGGCCACTCAAGAGTGGAGTGCAGCAAAGAGAGAGGAGGCTTGTTGTGGCAAGGAGACAGAGGGCGTGTGTGTTGAAGATTTATAGTCGCACAACACAGCAAGGCTCTGGACCGAGTCCTGAGGGACCGGGGTTTATCCGGTCAGCTCGTTTTCAGGCACAAACACAAACCGTGTGGACTGACTGTTCATGACGCCGTGACGTAGCCTTGATGCTCTTTATTCATGCTGCTGAGAGGAAGGAAGTTTTCCCC